CCTCAGCCTAAGCGTCCGTGTAACGGCTCCGGAATCCAAACGAAGGCCGTTGCGCCTGATCACTGTGTATGTTCTCGGGCTGCTTTTCACGGCTCTGATCGTCATTCCCGATGCGAATCAACGGCTGATGAGCATCAAGAGCTCCTCCTCAGTTGAATCAAACGAGAAGTTTCCGGGATCCAGACATTTGTCAGTTTCTGATGTTGGATTGAAGGAGGAATCGGCGAGCAGACGGAAGAGCAAGGAGACCAAGGAGACTAAGGATACCTCACTGGGTGGGACGGAGGAGCAGGATGCAAGCGACATTGCGGACGATTTCGTCGCTTTGTCAGCACGGAGGACGACACCTCGTGGACGAGGGAAGACTCCTGAAAAGGGCAGGGTTGCGACAGCTGATCAGGACAATGGCGGACAAGACGCGAGCAGTCAGCAAGGAAGTACAAGTGATGGAACGGAGAATGCAGAAGACAAATTGACAGGATTGGCAGCAGATGTCGCGGCTTCGGAAGGTGTTTCAGCCGCAGAAGAGGAATCGGATGCTGTCTCGGACTTCCCTGAAGCAAGCGAAGAAGAAGGTGAGCCTTTGTGCATGCAATATAAAGATACCATATTTTGAAACATCTTCCCAACAAGGGCATTTACTCTGTTGACCAGTTTGCATTTCCTCCCTGATGGAGAATGGAAGCATGGAAAAACGGAAGCAATGCTCGTTACTTGGATCACGTGAGCATCAGTGATTCAGTCCTTGCTGGAGACTTGACGCGCTTCTCTCCCTTCACAACCTCACCATCGTCTACTCCTCTTGTTCCACCTTCCTCCACTCTAACTCCTTCCTACCCCTCTTCTCTCCACCCTCTCCTCACTGACTATTTCCTTGCTCAAGCTAATCTCCACCCCGTCTCTTTTCCCCGTGCCATTCCCCTTCGAGAAATTCCCAAGCAGTAGCCAGGGCCAAACCTGTGGTCCTTGCATCCCCGCCTCCCCAACCTAAGCCCCCGCCAAAGAAGCCTCCACGGCCTCCTCCAAATCCGAATGATTATCTCCTCAAATTCAAACCCATCACGCCCACTCCTCCCAAGACCTGGCCTGACAACCTCATTTTAACCCTGGCCACCGGGGAAGCCTCCAAGAACCTGACAGTGCTGCTCCGGTCGTTTCAGCGGTTTGTGGAGCATGGAGGGCGAGCGTGGTTGATTCTGTTCTTTGATCGCGTGCCTCTGTGGTGGTGGCCAATGACTGCTGAGCAGAGAAAAGGGATCTATATGCAACAGTATGAAGCTCCCCGAGCAGGTGAGAGGGGGAGACGCTATCATGCAAGGTAGTATGACGTTGCAAGCATGGACTCGCGCAGATTTTTTTGTAGGCCTTGTACTCAATTCGCCTCAAACCTTTCTCTCCAGGAAATTGGAGTCACGCCCCTGCCACCAACATCCGGTATCTGGTGTTCAAGAAGTTCCTGCAAGAGTTGGGCTCATCGTTTGAAGGGAATGTGGCTCTTTCTGATGCTCATGATATTCTCTTCCTTCGTGACCCTTTTCCTGCCAAGGAGGCGAAGGACGTGTTTTTGAGGTTTATTACAGTAAGTTGTTTCTGTTCTATAATGTTCCCTTTGCACGTGGATGTTGCTCGGTTGATCACCATACTCTTTTGAACCTCTTGCTCCTTTCTATCCACTGCAGGAAGCTTCTCAATACCCTCGGCATGGGACTAAGGCATTATCATTGCAACACAAGCAATTATTGTCGTGCTTTTCACGAAAAGAGGCTTTCTCACTTGGAGGAATGCGTGTTATCAATCCTGGCTTCATTTACGGCCCGGCCTCACACATGCGGCAGCTTCTCGCACTGATTGTGGCAATCTTCCAGCAGGGTCCAAAAGTGTGTATGCGGTGGGAAAAGAGTGATCAAGCAGTCATCAACCAGCTAGTAAGAGCAGGTAAGCTCCTCATGGACCACGTGCCAGACAGCAACCTGTTTGTTCCCGATTATTGCAGCTAATGATGGCAGGGCTGTCTGGTGTTGCAGGGATGCTGAAGAGCATGCCACAGATTAAGGTGCAAGACATGGAGCGTGCAAGTGTCCTTCATCGGTTCGGTCCAGATGATAAATACATTATTGGAGACCATAAGAAGCTTCTTAACGAGCATGGGGGCACATTGTCAGTCTTACATGGCTTCGACCGGTTTCCAGACACGAGAGTTCTGGCCAGTAGAGTTCTGTCTGGTAAACTTTGAATGGAAAATCTATGGCAATTGTGGTTTCCTTGCAGTAACTTCCATTGTGGTTTGCAAAGCAGTATGGTACACTAACAGAAAACCATCCATGTACGGTATTAACCACAGCACCCTGACTTGGCTGCATTTCCATCCCCAACAACAATTGTTGTGCCCTCTCCAGGCCCAGCAGGGCCAGAGTCTTCTTGGCCGAGGGCCTTCTTGCTCACAATGCGGTAAATTTCAGTCAATATTTTATGAAACGCGTTTTCCACATTCGTTGACTCCAATGCAGACGTCTCGATAAAAGAGAGGTCTTCTTTCTCTGCAGCAAACGTTTGTGAAGTCAGCACGGCGTTGCTGCTGGACCAGGAGCAAGAGAAGGAACAACACACTTACCTGCAAAAGACTGCGCGTCTTCTGTAGCAACCACTCTGAGGTGTCTCAGGTCAGACTTGTTGCCGACAAGGGTAATCACAATGTTCGCGTCTGCATGGTCTCGTAATTCCTTCAGCCATCTCTCAACGTTCTCGTACGTCACAGGTTTCGTGATGTCATAGACAAGCAGGCAACCGACAGCTCCTCTGTAATAAGCGCTTGTGATTGCGCGATATCTTTCTTGACCTGCTGTATCCCAGATCTGCGCCTTGATTGTCTTCCCATCAACCTGTGAGAACAAACCTTTTAGAAGCAAGCTATTGAGAACGCTGTGTAGAACAATGTTGAAAAAACTTCGGCGTACCTGAATGCTTCGAGTTGCAAACTCAACTCCAATAGTTGATTTCGACTCCAGGCAAAACTCGTTGCGGGTAAACCTAGAGAGCAGATTAGACTTCCCCACTCCAGAATCTCCTATTAGGACAACTTTGAATAAGTAATCGTATTCGTCGTCCGTTTTATGAGCCATTTCTGTCTAGCCTGCGCCTGAGCTTGTGTGGACAACAGGAGGCTATCTGGAAGATTTAACACGCCAATGCAGCTTTAGCGCCACATGGAAATATATTTTTTGTCTTGGTTTCTTAACAATAGTACGGCATCTAGCTCCTGGATGCATGGAATTTTAGGGCGTTACCTAGCTAAGGTAGGGGGAATCCAGCATATTCTTAGACTGAAACGGGCTAAGCTGGTGTGTAGGTAATGCGTGAAGCAGGAGAGTAAATTGCCTGTGAGGCGGAGAACTGTTCAATTACATCAACGGGGCTTTTCGTAGAAGCACAAAATCAACTGCAAGAAAGACAATTTCCCTTCCTTTTACGGCTGCTGACTGCTTTTCTGTCCGTTGACTGCTTGCTGACGACAAACGGGTGGTGAATAGCAAACCCGAGGGGGTTCTGGCGCCACTCAGCCCAAAAATCACAAACCGTGTCGCATGTTGATTCAACCACCTGACCCACATGTCCCAAACTCGCACGGGCAGAAAGACTCCTGTATTTGATTGGCTCATTTCTCCGCAAAACAGCCCCGTGAAAGCCCGAAGATAGCTGAAATGTGCGATGCGGCGAAAAACACACGAGGAAAAACACATATCGTCTTATCGACGAAAACCATGCGACGCAAATTCAGTTCAGTTGAGAGCCACGGAACGAGCCATTCCCAAAAAACCAAGTCGAGGAGCCTAGCAAGAGACCCATCAAGCAATGCGTGTCGGTTGCACCTTTCCCCGAGACGCTACCGTTGGCGCCCTCCCTGATTGTTGATCCTCCTCTACAGCTCACTCATTATTTCAAACAATTTATTGTTCCTGCCGTATTCCTCGCGCCCTTTCGCTTCTTCCCATCAAGCACGCATCTCTCAGTTGTGAGCTTGCGCACAGCAAAAGCAACCACCCAAAACTGCCTTTCCCATACATTCCCGGATCAGATGTTCCCAGCGTCCTTGCACATTCACCTTCCTGTTTATGTCGGTAGATTCCGCGTCGAGTGTCACCTCGCATCCAGGTTGTGACTGGAAGCTTGACCCTCTGGTATATCCACGTTAGACTAAGAACCCTCTCGCACCGTTGGCAGCTTCAGAACACCTCGCTCAGCCCCGACAATTTGCTTCCGATAGCACAATTCTTCCCTTTCCAGCATCCAGCTTAGAAGAAGATCGGTCGAGGAACAGTCCTATACCTACTCTAGTTAGCAATTCCGCGACTGTATCTGTATCCGAGCAGCCTAGTACCTGAAAACGGCAGAGTTCAGACGAGCTTCTAGCCCAGCGCCATGGCTGACTCGCTAATATGCACTATCGTCATGAATCAGCGCAGTTCACTGATCAAAATTCCTGCATAGATTTATCCGCGTCCGAATCGACGTTCGGTAAAAGCCTTAGAGCCTCAGATGTATCCTCGGCTCTCCGTTTCGACCTTGGATAGATGACAGCCTGCCCCGTAATGGCACGTCGAGGGTTTCGTCTTTCCAACATAGTAGTCACCGCTCTCGCCGTGCTCGTCCTCCTCTCGGCCTCCACCATCATACATGCGTCGTCGGCGAATGCCTCGTCACCTGCATCTACCGACGGAATCAGATCAGACAAACTCTCATGCGACGAAGTCTTGTTTCTGAAGGACGTTCAGGATGTGGAGCAGCAGAATGGAGCTACTCCCTTCAGACCGGAATCTCTACTACTTTCTTTCGCCGCTGTGACAAGAAGAGCGGAGGAAGCGAACGAAGCAGGCAAGCAGCGGCAGACGGTAAAACAGCCAACTGGGAATGGGTCGGAACGCCTCGCCCGCACACTGACTCAGCTAGCTCGTGCCTCGTTCGCCTTCGTCCGTCGCCGATTGCAACTGATTCAAGCCAGCCGCATGGTTCAGACGTTAAGTCATTCCATCCCTACCTCTGCTGCAACTGAGGCCCCCGCCTCCGCCTCGTCGTCTTTTCCTCTCCTCACCACCTCCGCGAACGCGTTCAAAACGACCAAGTCCCCCGCGAAGCAGCCTCCACGGCCTGCCGCTCTCAAACCTACCGCCCCTCTTCCTCCTCCTCTTCCTCCTGCTCCTGCCTCCCCTGTGAAGCAAGGAACCAACGACACAGATGCAGGCGGAGCAGGATCAAAGGATGGGGGCGATGGGGATGCTGGCAGTGCTGCAGGGGTCAGCGGGGGGGGGAATGACACCAGCGTGTCCAACGTGACCAGCAGCCCGCCGAAACCGCTCAAGTCTCCGACTAAGCCGTCCAAGAGTCCGCATAAGCCGGCCAAGTCGCCCAAGCCGCGGAAATCCCCCAAGCCTCCCCCGACTTTCAAGTCCCCCAAGTCTCCCCCCAAGCCTTCCGCCAGTACGCCATCCCCGCCTGCTGTTGTCGCTGCTGCTCCGCCTGACCCTCCCTCCCCGCCCTCCCCGTCACCCTCGACCAAGGCCCCCAAATCACCCACACCCTCCAGCCCACCTCCTCCCAACCCAATCAAGAGCCCTCCTCCGGTCATCAAACCGCCTAAGAGCCCTCCTCCGGTCATCAAACCGCCTAAGAGCCCTCCTCCCCCTATTGCTCCACCATCTCTACCCCCACCTAAGCCCCAAAAATCTCCTCCTCCCCCCACCCTCTCGCCATCTCCACCCTTAAATAAGACCCAACCCCCTCCCAAATCTTCACCCCCTCCTAAATCCCCTCCCCCTCTCAAATCCCCGTCCCCTCCCAAATCCTCACCGCCTCCCAAATCCCAACCCCCTCCCAAATCGCCGCCCCCTCCCAAATCGCCGCCCCCTCCTAAATCGCCGCCCCCTTCCAAATCCCCGCCTAAGGGGGGAGGAGGGGTTGCGCCAGGGGGGGATGGGGAGGAAGAGGCGGAAGGGGAAGGGGAAGGGGAATGGTACGATCTACCTCCCAGCGTGCCGTCGGCCAGTAAGCCGGTGCCACCTGGCACGGGTGGCGTGTATGACGTGAGGAGCTTTGGGGCGAAGGGGGACGGGAAGAGCAACGATGGGAAGGCAATCGAAGCAGCTTTTGCCGCCGCATGTGCTGCGTCCCTCAACAGCAGCACAGCAACCGGAGTAGGAGGAGCAGCAGATGGGGGTAAAGACCAGGTTGCCCCAACGGTGCTGATTCCGGGTAAATACACCTTCCACATCATGGGTGTTTCCTTCCTTGGCCCGTGCGGGCCTTCAGGCGTGAACGTGCAGCTGGATGGAAACATCACCGTGCCTCAGAACCCAAAGATCTACACCGTTCCCAAGACTGGCCCCTTCACGATTCTCTACTTTAAGGGGATCACAGGGCTGAAGGTGTATGGGAGCGGCGTGGTGGACGGGCGAGGGCAGCTGTTTTGGGAGCAGAAGGGGAAGGGCGATCGGCCCATGCTGCTGTACTTTTTCCGATGCAACCAGACCGTGCTCAGTGGCATCACTGTCAGGTCAGCACGCGTGACTGTTGAGCCAATTTATGAACACCAGAGCAGGTCTACTTCTTCTCCAGAACGTGCTAGTGGCATCAAGTTCATCTTGTTCATTAAGGTCATCCTTCAATTTACCCTGTTTTGTTGCTTCATGCTCTCCGTTGGTCTTGTTCTCTCCATCATTCTGTGTTCCACGGCTTGCCTTGTTTGGTTGTGAATGCCTGATCCCCTGCTCCTTATTAACACCTCAAGACTCTACCCACTCAATCCTCTTTGCCTCTCTCCCTCGCTCCAGGAATGCGGCGTTCTTCCATGTGCAGATCTTCCGGTGCACCAACATGCGCATCTTTGATTTCCGCGTGGACTCACCAACTCTTTCCTTTCCTTCTCCCCCTCGCTTCAGGAACGCGGCCTTTTTCCACGTGCAGGTGTTTCGGTGTGCCAACATGCGCATCTTTGATTTCCGCACAGACTCGCCGGCAGAGAGCATCAACACGGACGGCATCCACATCTCCTCCTCCTTCAACATCGACATCCGACGGTGCACGCTCGGGGGGGGTGATGACAACGTGTCCATGTGGGACGGCGCTGTCGGCGTGACTATATCGAATGTCACGTGCCTCACAGGCCATGGCATCTCGTAAGTGGGGTGATCCTATGGAACGTCAGACACGTAACACAAACTGTGGCACTCACAACACAACAGTAAAAGCCTGGTTACCTGTGGTTACCTGTGTTGTTGAGGTTTGTTGAGACTTGAGCTTCACTCTCATCTCTCCTCCTGGTCATGCCCCGATTCATGTCACCTTCTATTGCTTCACCTTCCTTCGTCCCCTTTCCCCCTTCCCTCTTCCCTCTTCCCTCTCCCCTTTTGTTACTCTTGCCAGCATCGGAGCACTAGGAAGCGGCACGGTGTATCCTGTCTCTTGCGTGTCGGACATATCAGTGAGGGACGTGCGGTTCGTCAACACCAAGATAGGCCTGCGCATCAAGACGTTCCAGGGTGGTGCAGGGAAGGCCACCAACATCATGTATGACGGCATCTCCATGGAGAACGTGCGGTATCCAATCGTCCTCGATCAGGTGGGTTGTGTAGTCCATGGAGCGGCACTTTTTCCCCTCCCATCACAACTACCCTGCCATGCCATTCCTCTATTCCCCCGCACTTCTTGCCTTACTCTGTGCCGATGTCGTCTGTCCTGCCCCCCCTCTGTGTTCACCCACTTGCCCCCAAGAAGTTTTACTGCGGAGGCAGCCTTTACTGTTACAGCGACATCAAGACTAGCAATGTCGCCATAGTTAATGTAACATACTCTAACATCCAAGGCACAACGCTTGGACCTGAAGGGATCATCTTCAGGTGCAGCAGAACCGTTCCCTGCACCGACATATTTATGGACAGCGTTAACATAACTTCCCCTAACCCTGGTGCCTTGTTCCCGACCTCCCTCAATGTCTATGGGACTGGCGGTCTCCACCAGTCAATGCCTCCCATGGTAATGGGGTCTCTGCCCGGGATAACTGAGATAGCAAGAATACAGCGCCAGGTAACTTCATGTGTAGGAGTGACTGACTGGTAACTTCCAATGTAATTCTCTACATGCATCCATCATTCTATGGCTGGCTGAAAGTGCTGCAATCCATTTGATTGTGATGTTATATTAGGTAAAGTGCTGCAATAATGTATAGTATTTAACAAATAATTTTCAGGACTCTTGAATTGATGCTATTCCATGTATGTTGCTATGCTACAATATGGGCATGCAGATTTGTAGCCGAGGGTGTTCAATATTTTTTCCTAGCACTTCCAGATTTCAAATGTGCAGATTTTGATGTCCATGCTTGGTTGTGATTTTGAATCGTGATGTCGCTAAGAATGTTTAAGCAGTACTGCGAATCACTGTTCTTTTGAAACTTCACGCTGTACTGCCTTCACATCGAAGTTTACGGCGCCTACTCGCTGTAATCTCCATCAGAAGGAGCGGCTTGACGCCTAGGGTTTGGTATTTCAACTCACCAATTCTTCTCCATTTCAAACCACCACAACGTCGGATTTTCCCTCTGCCGTTATTTCCAGCCAGCTGCTGGTTTTGCAAGTCTGCTCTCCCAGCACCAAGTCTCGGGTTGCTCCATCCAGGAGACGGCTGCTCCACTGGATCTACGCCAACCTGACATTGCAGCAAAAATCGCCTGCTCCGGAAGCTCGCGGGACGCGCCTGCCCCCGAAACTCGTGGATTCTTACTCGGTCTACTATATGGTCACTTGAAGACTGCCGTTTTGCTCGGTTACTGGGCCGTGGCTTCTCACGGCACCACACGGCTTCAGATCGATGACTTCAAGACCACAAGTTGGTTCTTCCTGTTAAGGAAGCAATCTTGACTTTAACATGTATGATTACCTCTGTGTCATATGTCTTTTTTTTTCGTCTGTTTGTTTCGTTCGTTCTGTATTCTTCATCGCCGTCGTGTTCTTTTTTCTTTTATGCTGTGTGTTACAGAGAAGATGACACCAGCCGCCGTCAACCCGCATCGAAAAAACGACCACGTTTTTTCACAGGGAGACCGCGCTAAGAAGAGGCGGCTACCAAACGGTCACGCTTACGAAGCAGTCCCGTTGGATCCTGACGTCTTCGAGATCGACGGCGAGATCATGTACGAATCGGACGGCAAGAAGCGAAAGATCTCCGCGGCGAACGGCGGGAAACGAGAGGAGTCTGGCGTTTCCAAGATGGACGGCGACTGCACGGGTCCCAATGAAATCGGTCGGAAGCGCAAGGCTCTGACAGAAATCATCCACCGTGACGACCCAGGGAGCGTTTCGGAAGCCGTACGCGGGGTTCTTTCTAGGGGCGAGAGGAGATCTCTTAGACGGGAGATTAGAACGGATCTGAATACGGTGCTGGCTCTAGGTCGGAGAGTAGACGCTCGTGAGAATAGATTGATGCAGGAGCCGCAGGTTATCCTTAGTGACTCGCTTGGGGACCGGAGGGTTCGCAGATCGGAAAACGGAGGAGCCACGGAGCTTTCGTCTGCAGGACAGCCGCTCGACGGGGGCTTAGGGGAGACAGCGCAGAGCGGGGGGCCCTTGGCGGTGGGAGTGGCGCAGCAACTCCACCAGCACCACCGAAAGGGGAGAGGGGCTGCTGGCGGGGAGAGAACACCAGGCGGGAAGGAGAAGCGGACGCCGAAGGCGAATACAACGTACATACACCCCGACTTCCTGTCCGCGGCCGATAAGCTTCCGCCGCCAGAGAAGGGGAAGTCGAAGTCGTCTAGTCAGAAGAAGGGCGGGGGGAAAGGGGTAGAGCAGAAAGATCCGCGTAGGCAGAAGGTCGAGTCCGCACGGGCGAAGCGGATGGCGGATGCGTTCCGCATGTGCGGTGCGCTGCTCAAGCGAGTTATGTCGCACAGGTTCTCGTGGGTTTTCAATGTCCCTGTAGACGCGGAGAAGCTTAAGTTGCACGATTACCACACGGTTATCAAGAATCCTATGGATCTGGGCACTATCAACACGAGATTAAAGGCGTCGGGTTACCAGCATCCCGACGAGCTCCACAACGATGTGCTGCTCGTTTGGTCCAACGCCATGACTTACAACGGGGAAGGCAATGACGTGTATCACATGGCGGCGGAGCTGAAAAACATGTTCGAGCAAGGGTACCAAAAGGTTCAGCAGAAGCTGGACGAGGATGCAGTTAAGAGGCGACAGGAGGACGAGTTGCTGGCAGCGGGAGGGGGTCTACCAGATCCCAGGGACAAGTCGGAAGTGCTAGAGTTGGAGAAGCGGTTACAGAAGTTAGAATCGCAGCTTGTGGCGAGTACTAAGGCGCAACAGCAGCAAGGGAAGGCCAGAGGGGGTCAGGCTAAGCCGCGAGCGGCTGATACGAAGAAGAGGGACATGACGTTTGCAGAGAAGCAGAAGCTGAGTGTTAATCTGGGGAAGCTGCCTCCGGAGAAGCTAGACAGGATTGTCCAAATTATATCGGAGCGCAACCCGGATCTGAGTCAGAACGCAGACGAGATCGAGCTTGACATTGACTCGCTGGACAGTGAGACGCTGTGGGAGCTGGAGAGATACGTGGCCAACTGCATGAAGAGCAAGAGCAAGCGGAAGAAGCTCCCTCTTTACGATACTGTGCAACCCAAGGTGAGGAGCTTGAGTGGTGCTTGCTGGTTCATGTTTAGCTCCATTGTGAGCTTTGCAGCTCCTTGTCAAACCTGGATATGCGGCCTGACTTGTTAACATTGCTTCTCTGCCCCTTGTTAACATTGCTTCTCTGCCCCTACCCTGGTCAGGGCGTGGATGCGTTCCCAGCAAGCTCAGCAGGAGACCTTAAAGGTAAATTGCTGCCTCATGTCTTACTAGTGCTGCTTAATGTGCCTACCGATATTCCTTCAGGCCAAGAACATATCAGTTGCTCCCACCATCCTCTGTTGGCGTTTGTCACATGGCGATGCAGAAGGTGAAGACAGCATCGACATTGGGGACGAAGGGCCTTTGCCTGCGCAGCCAGCAGGCCCCTCTAGGCCGGAGCCGTCAAGGGCGTCAGCAGGGAATGGAGCACAAGGCGGAGGGGCTGCCTCTGACTCCTCTGGCTCGTCAGGCTCCAGTGATGACAGTTCCTCAAGTGGTATGTGTGATGCCTGCCTAGTTGGTACCACATGTGATTTCACTCGTCCAGAGCTGCAGCTGAAGCTTCTATGCATGCTTAGTTCTCTAATGCTTAATTCTCTTTTCCCGTGTTTGGTAATCTACAGAGAGCGACTCTGGGAGTGATTCTTCGAGCAGTGATTCAGACGAGATCCAGTCAAGAGATGCTGGCTCAGAGGCTTCCCCTGACAAGGTTGGTGGACCATCTCGCTTGTAACTATTGTTATTGGACCAGTGATTGCGCAGCTAACACTTATTGTGTTGTACCGTATTTTGCAGAAGTGGTAGGTCTTGTTCTTGCTGGCTTTATTAACATGCTGCAGTGCTGCTTTGATAAGGGTTAGATGGATGTGTCATAATTCACAACACAATAGGAGGGTAAGCTTCTCTGCTGTTAGTACGTATATTCAGTTGACAAATTATCAAAGACTAATCTATACTGCTAGCTGGTTGCAGGTCGCCAGTGTGACTGGTCTAACCAGTGGTACATAGGCTTGATGCATGATGAGTCTGATTTCTAAGTAGCATATTCAATTGATTCTTTGTGTTAGTATGATGTAAGAAGTATTTTTTCGTTAGATGTTTATCTTGTGACTTGATTTTGAACATAAGCGAAATGTACCATCTCACCTGTCTTGATTTCTGGAACATTCTGTGACGCCATCTCCAACTTCCGCAATTGCTATCTGGTGGTTGCTTGCGTCACACGTTGCAGGGCTACCTCTCTCCCGCTTCTCTCTCCCTCCCTCGATTCTCGCCTCACCTCGCCCGCCACCAACGGAGCTAGGGTTTCAATTTTTGGCCATCACTATCCGCTAGCTCCTAAGTTTTCGTCAGCTATGGAGGATTAGAACGCGCAGATCAACACGGTTGAATTTAGCGGAATAGAACCCACTATTTTTGGTCTTAAAATTTTGTTGTTTGTGGACCAAGCTGCATTAATTCTGCGTCGGATCTGTTTTTTTCCAAGGGAGGAGGAAGGTACATTGCACCGATGAACCGTTTTTTTTCTGTGTGTCCTAGCTCATGGTTTAGCAGAATAAAGCAAGAAACAAATCAAAGCAAGAGAGTAGGCATATTTTAGGGATTGGATTTAGTATGTAAGTTACCTGTTAGTAGAAATAATTTGGTGATGTCGCACAGCTTCCGTTGACGATACAATATTAGGCCAGGATGGTCTTATGCATCGGTACTGTGTTTAACTTGGCGAGCTTGTTTCGACTGGTATATGCATCGTGGCAGGTGTATAAAGCATGACTTGCTCTGGTTCGTGTTACCCACGATGAATTGCAGTTGCGAAGTCTGGCACTTCCTTTCCGTGATTCACGTGGGCTTGTCCTCGCATGGAAAGAGGTGCAAAGGTGCGTCTTTCCTGCCTTTTGCTGTTTCTCAACCTTATCACGTGATGCTATTCTTGTCTAGAAATCTCTGCAACAGGACTCTAAAATTATGCTCTTGTTTCTGTTTGCAACAGGGAGCAATGGCGCCAGCAGCTCTCGAGCCTCGCAGACGGAACGAGGTTATTATAACCAGGGAAGAGGCCATGAAGCGGCGAGTACGCAAGGGATACGCGTTGGAGCCTGTAGGTCCGGCACCCGACGTAAACAGCAAAGGTTTTGAGAAGCTAGATAGTTTAGATAGTCGAAGGAGAAAGTCCACAGGAAGCGTTAGCGTTATCAAGGCTTCAGCAAATGCACCGCCTGTCGCCGATTTCCCAGCAGTTCCCGTTGCCGCTCAGCCCAGCTTCTCAGAAGAATCACTGAAACGGAAGGTTCCAGTTTACAACGGCGGAGGTCACGCGGTTGATCATGCCAGGGCAGGGGATAGGAGAGGCAGCAGAGAGAGCAGTAGAGACGGAGGCACAGGCACCGGTTTGGCTGGGTGGACAGGTGGGGAAAGGAGAGGCTTGCGGAGAAAGTTCCTAGATGAGCTGGAGCAGCTGCAGGGGTTAAGTGAGAAAGTGGAAGCCAGGGAGGGAGCATTACGGCGCGAGGAGTTGTCAGGGAAGGGTGCGGAGAGCCGGAAGCGGATGAGACGTTCCGAGAACGGTACGATTGCATCTCACACGGTGGAATCCGGGTCGATGGACGCTTCGCCTGTCGCTGTAGCCGCTCCGCTCGTTCCTGCGCCCCCAGTGCGAATACAGGGTTCAGAGACGGAGTTTTCAGGCAAGGGGTGGATCGCACCGTTAGGCGCTGATTCGTTTCATGCTAAGGAGAAGGCCTTGGTTCCCGAGAGAGGCAAGGGGAAGAATGTCCCTGCAAACACGCCGGAACTCGATCTGAAACGACAGAAAATCGAAGCTGCTAGAGCGAGGCGATTGAACGACATTTGTAAGCAGTATGCGACGCTGCTGAAACGACTGATGTCGCATAAATACGGATGGGTGTTCAAAGAGCCCGTCGATGCGGTGAAGCTCGGTTTACACGATTACCACACGGTGATCAAGAATCCGATGGACCTGGGTACGATTACCGCGAAAATCAAGTCGTCGGGTTACCTTCATCCAGACGAACTGTACAGCGACGTGCAGCTGGTTTGGTCGAACGCTATGCGGTATAACGGGGAAGGCAGTGACGTGTATATCATGACGTTGGAACTGAAGGGCCTGTTCGAGCAAGGGTACAGGAAGATCCGACTCAAGGTGGAGGAAGATGCCGCGAAACGCAGGCAGGAAGACGAGGAGCTGATGGTTGTAGAGGACGTTAAGGGAGCTAAGGCAACTAGGGAGACCAGCGACGGCCGTGAGAAGCCGGAGGTTCAAGAGTTGGAGAAGCGGCTGCAGAAGCTCGAGTCGCAGATGCAGGCCGGTGGGAAGGTGACGAGCCAAGGAGTAACGCAGGTTCAGGCGAAGGGGAAGGTTCCCCTGAGGGACATGACGTTTGCGGAGAAGCAGAAGCTGAGTGTTAACCTGGGGAAGCTTCCACCGGAGAATCTGGATCGGATTGTGCAGATCATATCCGAGCGCAATCCTGATTTGAGTCAGAACGCGGACGAGATCGAGCTTGACATTGACTCGCTGGACAGTGAGACGCTGTGGGAGCTGGAGAGATACGTGGCCAACTGCATGAAGAGCAAGAGCAAGCGGAAGCGGGCTCTGCTGCAGCAGAAGCAATCGGTGCCTTTGTCCAAGGTTTGTGTGCGTGGTTTGGATTTCAGGTCTGTTTGATGTTTTAGCTTCTCTGTGCTGCTTGGTTTACACTGAGACAGTGTGACATGCTAATCTGGTTGTGCTGCCGTTTTTGGCCTGTGCAGGTTCCTGACGCTCTTCCTGCTTCACAGCAGGAGCTCAAAGGTACAATGATCACCACTAAACCCTTTTAATACTCTGGGCTGTTATAAAAAGCAATACTCATATTGTCCTGTTGTTGTGCCGTGCTATCCTTGTGCTATTGCCTGTGCTGTTCTGTGACATCTTGTTCCTCGTTCTTCAATTTCCAGAAGGCGAGGACAGTGTTGACATTGTGGAGGAAGGTTCCGGTCTTGTTCATGGGGCTGCTGCTGTCACTTCTGCTGCAGACTCGGCAGCAGCCAAGCTGCCTGCTGGGAATGGAGTAGGAGGGAAGGCCAATCCAGGCACCTCAGGATCATCCAGTTCGAGCGATGATAGCTCGTCCAGTGGTATGCTTGTCAAGCCTGAACTTATCTTTGCTCTGTTCCCTTCCCGTGCTCCCCACCCACCCACTTCTTTTATCATCACTCCCAACATCAGTTACCATTTTCTTTCCCCACACTCATATGGATTGTTTTTCCCAATTGTCCTCCTCAGATAGTGACTCAGACAGCGGCACATCCTCCAGCGAGTCTGATCAGGAAGATCGGCGCTCCAAGGGAACTCCTTCTGAGCCTGCCCGTGGGAAGGTGACTGAATTGCTCCATTGCCTGTCGATTGTTGAGCATTTTGCAAAAAAAGAAAGACTGAAGAAAAATGATGGTGGTACCTCTCTTTACTGGTTAAATTGTGCAGCAGAATCAGAGCAAGGATAGTGCAAAGGCCAGTGATATATGCTCCTCGCCTAATGCTGGTAAGCCAAGTTGCACAGAAATTGCACTGGGGTAGTGCAATTCGAGTCCCAATGCATCTGAACTGGACACTTTGTACAGGGTATCCATGCTGTGTGAACTCTGAGAACGAACAACGCCCATGAATTAGGTGGTTTTGTTGCATTTGATACAGGGGGTGACAGTGTTGCTGCAAGTGAAGGGGTGAAGATGGAGGTTGATGTGAAGCAAGATGAAAAGCCAAAGGAGGTGAAGCCATCTTTCAAAGGTGAGTGTCTTGGAGGCTCTTTGTATACAGTGTGGGTTGGTACATCATTGTGAGCATCTCTACATGTTATAGCAGCAACCACTCATGCCTCATGCTTGATTTCCTAATCTTCTCAGGTGATGATGAGGCGGCTGTAAAAGCAGCCCTTCTTCGGGGGAAGTACGCTGACATAATTTTGAACGCCCAGAAGAAAGCAACGGAGGCAAGTCAATATTCTCACAACTCTTGCTTGGTTGTTCCTATGTTGCAATGGTCTTAGCTTCTTATTCTTTTTGTTCCACTCTTCCTTGCAGACTCAAAGTGTGGATCAGAAGCAGCTTGAAGAAATCGAGAGAAAGCACAGAGAAGGTATGTATGGTAGGGCGTCATTTTTCCTTGTCTTGTCGGAAGGATATACTAACACCCTTGTCATTCTGCTTTACGATCCAGAGCGAGCTCGTTTGGAAGCTGAAGCCAGGGCAGCACAGGAGACTCGCAGGCGGAAAGAAGCAGAGGTGGCTATTGAAGCCCGGAAAAAGCTGGAGGAGCAAAGGGAAGCAATGCGTCGTGCTCTGCAAGGGGTATGCTCCCTCCCTACTAGGGCCATCTGTTATGTTTCTGTGCCAATGTTCTTTCTATATTCAGTGTATTCATCCATTGTTCCGGGCTCTGTCCAATGCTGTGTTGCATGGCAAGCAGATGGCAAAGTCCGTGGAGTTGGACGAGAGCCATGCCATCATGAAGGACATGCACCTTCTGAGTGCTCCTGCTGAGCACATCAGCATTGGTCCTGACCGCTCCACCGAATTGCTGTTTGGTGGTGAAGGTGCAAGAGTCTCAGGTTCTCAACAGGGAATGAACGTGTTAGAGCATTTAGGGCTATCACTAAGAGATGAATCAGATGGAGAAGAGAGTGAAGATGAAATGGAGGCAGACAGAAGCAAGGAAGAAGTGGAAGATGGGGAAATCTGATTGGGGGCATTGCTTGCACCTTTCCAGGGCTTTGGAGACACTTGTAGTCAGATAACTGTTGCTTGCATGCACATGGAAATATTGCACATGATTATACCATATTGCACATGCACATAATGAACATGATACAACCATTCCCTTTCAGGACCTAATTCGTAGATATTTACATGAACATGCACAACACCTTACCTACAATCTTTACATTGTTGAATGAAAATCTGTCGCTGATGAAACAGGCAGTCTCATAATCACCTGAAGGAGCTGAATTTTGACCACAAAATGAAATAACGTCTGAGGCGGATTAAAGAGTGTTCTACGGAATCCATCCTCGGTAATACCGTAAGGTATCTGCAAAAACCGTTTTGGAAAGGCTCAGCAAACAACCAAGAAAAACACGCTCACAACATAAAAACGGGGGTAGCAGATGTGCTTCACCTGAAACGAATCATTAGTTGAGGTTAAGCAATAGAAGTCCGCGTGCCTCGTTATCTTGTCTCACCAGCCCTGGACGGGGACGACACACCTAGTTCTCCATGGAATGTCGCAACAAGATGTAAACATCTCACCAGCTGCTCACTAGATTAGGGAGCTTCCATAATAATCAGCGAGGTCCAACGATACAGCACCTGCACACGCAGAATAGAGGTAAGCAAAGCATTAGCAACAAATGGAGCTCGAGTGCAAAAGCGTGAGAACTAAAAAGAGAAAGAGGAAGAGGAATCGAAACACACCACTTAAACGGGAGAGGTGAAGGATTCCGCACGACGCAGCGACCGTATTATCCCAATGACGTAGAGCTAGTCGTCAAAAAGCTTTCCCAGCCTCCCAGATGTCATTTCGCGGGTACTGTCGCCATCGTAGCATAGGAGGGATATGCTCGTCGCAAAGCATGCCGACGAAAAAAGGTGACATGAAGAAGCTTATTGATGATTAACCTTGCAAGGTTGTGCGACGATAGCCTTTCTTGACATAATTATTCTCTTGCATATAGCCCAATGCTACTGCCTGGTTACGACCTGCAACCATAACAGATCAATAACTTGCGTAATGCAAGAAGCCGCAGTGAACTTCATTACCTGTCATTTCCTTAGCTTGTACGGTCTACTGAAGGAAAGCTGTCGCCTCCGATAAACTGAAATTCAACTGGGCATGAACACTGATGGTTGCGGCAAAAGAGCAGGGAGCAAGAGAAGTTGGGAGAATGTGAGTGGCTCTAGCCGAAGCCAACCCAAACAGGCGGGGCGAGTGCGGGAACTGGCGCAGGTGAGGTTGGAGCACAGCGATACACTTTCGCTGACGTGTCCAAACCCTCGAAGCTGTAGTGTTACAGAATCCAACTTGCATTATTCCTTATGCAATAGAGTAAATGTTTGCCATAATTTCCGAACTCCCATTTTGCAACGGATGACCCAACCTGGGCCGTATCCGTCTCAGGGTGTTACGAGTGCAATTGAGTGAACGAAAGAGAATTGCACTATCGAAGCAAGAATACAATGAGCGAGGGCGTGAGCGAAGAATATATAGCGAAACTACAGTGGTAACGGTAATGGTCTGTGGTAGTCGCGCGACGAGCCTGGGACTGAGGTTGGGAAAGTGTCGAAGCGTAGGCCCGGAGCGCGGGTTACCAGCCGAGCCGTGAGGTCGGGATGCGATGTGCGAAAAATGGCGGGATGATTGTCGATGCGATGATCGCGAGTGGTAACGGTGCTGACTGAGGTGCTACAGTGATGTACGTGTTGAGCAGGGATGCGAAGTAAGGAAAAGGGATTTTCCTTACACAGGGTTTCAACAAAATCCGGACGATGTACAACGTACGTCCGAAAGCTTAAGATGCCTACGAGGTCATACAGTTCCAGGGCGACGCAGACAACCTTGGACGGAAGCGTTACGACGCTCACGACGCTGTTTAATTCCTGACGACATAAAACGACTTAGGTAACCACAAAACCGTCCGGAAACGTGTCATCCAGACCAGAACAAATCGAAAAAGTTACGCGCCCTTGCCCGGCATCATCTCCTCAGGCCTCGACTCACCATCATTATGCAGTAAGCCAGCCTTCCTGTTGAATGCTTGCGTCTATTCTGAAGCTAAGTGTACACCTGGGTATGCAGCGATAAATTCTTTGCATGTCTATTTCACTATTGCCACAACGCCGCCATTTTTCCTTGTCGAAGAAGCAAGTCCGCTTGCTCACCGATCCTAGTTAGCAAATTCATTGTCTGGTCCGTGTTAACGCGAATTGTGCTGCGTCGTGCGATCGCATTTCATACACGTGCCTGCATCTCGCGACATGGACGGTAGCGGAAAGGGACCTTCTTCCGCGCCTGAAGGCGGTGGTTCCTGGCCCGGCGGACCGAATCGGCCCCGTGACGGCCCTTACGGCGGGGGCGGCGGCGGAGACAGCGGGCTAGGCCCAGGCAGAGATATGGGCGGACCTGGCGCTGGGATGGGACCGGAGGGAACGGGGGGTATGGGGATGATGGGCATGGGAACCATGGGCGGAATGGGGAGTATGGGAGGAACGGGGGGGGTGGGGGTTTCAGGTTATGGGTTTGATCCGATGTACCCGCAAGGGTACGGCGGAGGAGGAGGAGGCGGAGATTCGTCGCGGAAGTGGGGAAAAGGGGAGGGATCCGCGGAAGGTAGCGCGCAGGCGGGATCTGGACCTGGTATGGGAGGCATGGCCGGGCCTGGAGGTATGGGAGGGTCTGGGCACGGTATGGGCCCTGGAGGTATGGGCTCAGGTATGGGTTTTGGCATGGATGGGGGCGCGCGGGGAGGGGGAGGCGGAGGGGGGTGGGGAATGGGGGGCATGGGGGGAATGTCAGGCATGGGGAACATGGGCATGGGCGGGAACATGGGCGGAGGCATGGGGATGGGAATGGGCGGAGCGGGCGGAATGGGGATGAACATGGGATTCGGTCCTGGCCCAGGGGGAATGGACGGGCCTGGCGGATGGGCAGGCGGAGGGGGAGGAAGAGGGGGAATGCCTGGCGGCATGGGCGGAGGGGGAGCGGGAGGCGGAGGGGGAGGTGGGGGTGGAATTGGGGCCGGTGCAGGGGGAGGCGCAGGACCAGGTTCCGGAGGGGGCGGTGGAGGCGCTGGGATGGGCGGAGGAGGGCCAGAACCGGGTGGTATACCACCACGAGCGCCGCACTCTGGGCCAGCGAACGGGCCTGTACGAGGAGGGATCTTTTATCGCACGAAGATGTGCGTGAAGTTCCGCAATGGCGTGTGCCCGTACGTGACCAACTGCAACTTCGCCCACACGCAGGAGGAGCTGAGAAGGCCCGTGCCCAGCTGGGGCGGGGATGACATGGCGGCACGCAAAGGCGCGGGGGATGGCAGGGGGCCGGCACGGGGAGGTGACGGAGGAGGGGGAGGAGGCGGGGGTGGTGGTGCTGAAGGGAGTGCGGATGGAGTGAGACGGGATGGCCGACCGCCAGAGGTGAGCTGTGAAACCCTTCTTTTTCTTTGTTTCTGTTTAGCAGATACAGATTTCCAGGCATAGGGTTGATGCTTTGGACTGATCTGCTCTTTCTGCACCTCCCACTGCCCTCTCAATCACCACCACCACCAGCAGCAGCAGCAGGCAGCACAAACGTCAGAGGCACAAGAGCCCGCCAGCAAGGCAACGCCTGGTGCTGCTGGCGAAGGTGCCGGTGGGGTTGGTGGCACTGCCAAGGGAGGGGTGCCTGGGGAAGGAGCAGGGGGAGGAACCGGGCCTGCAGGGGCGGACGCTCCTTCTGCATCAGCTGCTGCTGCTGACAGTGCTGGTGGGGGAGGGGGAGCGGGTGGGGGAGGGGGAGGGGGAGGGGGGAGGGGGAGGAGGGAATGTGGGCATGGGGGTGACGGGGAAGCCACCCAACTGGCGCACGCGCATGTGCCACCGGTGGGAGATGACGGGCAACTGCCCCTTTGGTGACAAGTGCCACTTCGCCCACGGGGTTCACGGTATGTGCTGCTGCTGCTGCTGCTGCTGCTGCTGCTGCTGCCTTGCTGCTTCTTTCTCAAGTATACCAAAAGAGTCACGAGTACAGTGGCACGGGTGGTGCCTGGTTCCATGTTTTGCAGTGTTGACTAAGGTCCTTTGTTGACCTACCCTGTCCTCTTTACGTCATTCATAAACCCCTTCTTGCTACACCAACCCCCACCCTCCACCATCCACTTCCCCATTCTACTCTCCCTCCCACCTCTTCACTTGGACCTGTTTCAGATATTTGTCCCTATCTCTCTCCTATGTCTGCATCTCTCTCCCCAACCTGCGCCTCCCCCCCATGAGCAGAGCTGCAGCGATATGGGGGAGGGCCCATCGACCCATCCATGCTGCCGCCGCCCTATGCCGACCAGTTTCACCGCATGGGGCCCGGCATGCCCCCCATGGGCACCATGGGGGGGCCAATGGGCGCACTGGGGGGAGGCCTTGGGGGAAATGTCCCCCCTGACTTCCTCCCGTATGGGCCTGGCGGTGGGCCTGCGGGTGGGCCTGGTTTTCCCGGTGCTGCTGGGATGGGAGGGGGTGGGGTTGGAGCGGGGCCTTTTCTCCGGCCTCCTCCTATAGGGTTTGGTCCTGGGGGTGGGGCGATGGGGAGAGGAGGGCCCATGCCTGGCCAGGGAGGCTCCTTTGCTGATGGTAGGCATGGGATGGGAGGCGGTTTGGCGGGTTTGGGAGGTGGTGGTGGCAGAGGGAGGGGGAGAGCGGAGGGTGGGAGAGGGTTGAGTGGTGGGGTTAGGATGGAGAGAGATGGTGTGAATTTGTTATATGGGGATTGGGTTGAGGAGGATGAGTGGGCAGGGAAGGAAGGGGACGAGGGCGAGGAAGTGGAGGGGGAATTTGAGGGTGGGAGGTTACTGGACGATGGGTGTGATGAGTTGTTTGCATGGGTGTGGCATAAGGAAATGGAGCATAGCATTGAGAAGGAGAGTGGTTTGGACATTACATTTGAAAGCCTTTTGCAGGGGGGTGGGGGATCACACTTTCTATCGATGCCTAGAAGGAAAGCCAAAGTAATTAAGGCTAGTGGTAACAGAGTGGTTCCTTATATGCTGAAGGCTCCATGTACATTTTAAGTAGACTTGTACACTCTTTTTTAGTGAGTTGCATTCCTGTACTGGCTTTGTGCACGACTTGTCCTGTCTGTCGCCAAACCAGGCAATTGGGTGCTTGTCCAGGCTTGTTATGAGTTGTAAACGAGAGTGCGCAGGTAAACGAATAACGAAGCTGTGACTGAACCAACTGCGAATACAATGAATGCACAGACTAATGTAGGACTACTCTAGCTAGGAGGAAACCTCGGACAAGCGAGGTTGGGTGCAGGTTTGGCGATGGGAAAACCGAAGGCGACGTGAGGAGCCTCGGCAGCGTTGAAATCGGCCGAACGTGCGAACTCCGAAAATCGGGTTGTACGCGAAGCAGTCAACCCCAATAAGGAATTCGGGAAAATTCCTTACACCACCCCCCCCCTTAAAAAAGGTAGTCAAGAGCCGAAACACGCCGTCGCGCCAGATAATCACCAACAAGCGTCGAGGCGTCTAGTGAAGCGGATGGCACCCACGTGTCATCCTCACTGTTGCGGTCAGTCCAGCGAATTAAGAAATCCACGTGGCGTCCAGCGGCGTCAAGGCGGACCCGATGAGCGAGAATCTTGGAAGGGTCAAGGGTTGGCTCCGGGACGGGGCGAGCTGTCGGGGCCGCTTGCTGACGTGCGATGTCGGTCGTGGTAGGCACGAACTTCCGAAGAAGGCTGATGTGGAACGCGTCATGTATATGCCAATCGTCGGATAGCAACACCTTCGCGGTGACAGGTGTGTGAAACTGAATGAACGAGAGTGAATGACTATGAAATGAAGTGGGTACAAATAGGAAACCCTAATTGGGTTGTACCCCCTATGGGATACCCCACTATAGCCTACAGAAACAAGTAAGCTATATGTTCTGACACACCCCCATAGGCAAAGTGGGGGAGAACAAGGGGTCACAAGACCAGTCAAGCAAAGCAAAGCAAAGCTCAGGGTGGATCAAAAAGTCACCACGCATTCCGAGCACAAGTTCAAAGGCAAGAAGGCCAGTTTACATGCAAGATCATATATAGAGATATACAAGAATCAAGCAAGCAAGAGCAAGAGTATATATAGGCGAAGGTACAAGCAAGGTCAAGAGGAGAGCAAGTGAGGCAAGACAGCCACAAGACCCAACTGCGTGCAACAACGCTGATGATCACAAGACGCAAGTGCCTTGGTGAACACATCAGCAGTGTTGGCCTCAGAGGCCACGTACGCAAGTCGTAGCTGTCCACGCTGCTGTAGCTCACGAGCAAGAAAGTAGCGGAGAGCAATGTGCTTCATTCTGTGCTCCAGTCGCTGCTCTCGACACAAGGCCAGCATGGCCTTGTTGTCTACGTACAGGACTGGAGGAGAACGAGGCTGCTCTCCAAGGTCGGTCAGCAGGTAGGTGAGCCAGCGTAACTCCTGTGCAGCCATAGCCCCAGCGTAGATCTCAGCCTCACAACTGGAGCCAAGAACAGAAGACGAGCGGGTAGCCCGCCACGAGACAGAGCCGGAACCTAGGCTGAAGGTGTAACCCTGTGACGACCGCTGCGTAGCCTGGTCGTCAGCCCAAGAAGCGTCTGCGTGCCCAGTGAGGACCACTGGACTGCGCCCTCCAAGCACTAGCCCCATGCCCGACGTACTGCACAAGTAGCGCAACACCCTCTTCGCTGCAGCCATGTGCTCTGGTCGGTGTCTCCCAGGAGCAACAAAGCGTGCGAGAATGCTAAGAGGGTATGCGAGGTCAGGTCGTGTGCAGGTCATCAGGTACATGAGGCAGCCAACAAGCTCTGCAAACGGGCCACTCGACTCTACGGACTCATCCGAAGGCAGAGCAGAGAGCGAGTGGCGAGTAGGCAGAGGAGTGGCCTGAGGCGAGGAGTACGTGAAGCCGAAGCGCTGAAGGACCTGCTGCACCATGTGTGACTGAGTCAGGGTAATGGTGCGGCGTGCTCTGTCCCGGGTGATCTGCAAGCCAAGGTAGCTGCGCAGTTCACCCAGGTCTATGCACGTGTGTCTCTTCTGCAGCTCGGACTTCACGTAGGCGAGTCCAGCAGTGTCACCTGTGGCAAAGACCAAGTCGTCGATGTACACGAGGATGTAGAACGGCGGCAGAGAGGTGTCGGTGCGAAGAAACAGCGACGGGTCGGCAGTAGAAGGAGCAAACCCAAGTGCCGCGAGCGTAGTCCTCAGTGTGTCGTGCCACTCACGTGGCGCCTGGCGGAGACCGTAGACTGGACGCCGGAGACTCCACTGGGTACAAGGAGGGAAAGACCCAGTGAAGCCAGGTGGGCGACGCAGCCAGATCTCCTCGTGCAGGCTGCCCTGCAAGAAAGCAGTGCTGAAGTCAAGAGAGTGCAGCTCGTAGTCACGGTGAGCAGCAACGTGCAGCAGAACCCGAAGAGTGGTCATCTTCGGGGTGGGGGAGAAGGTCTGAAAGTAGTCAACCCCCTGCCGCTGACTGAAGCCACGAGCCACGTAACGCGCCTTGAAGACAGGCGGAGAACCCGGCGGCCGCTTCACCCTGAAAATCCACATGCCACTGACGATGTTCGCCCCAGGAGGGGGAACAGCGTCAACGTAGGTGCCTGTGGACTTCCAGGAAGCCATCTCTGCATCCATAGCTGCCTGCCACTGAGAGGAGTAGGGACCCTCTATCGCCTCCGCGTAAGAGCGTGGAGTCGGGATGTCTGGTGCATCCGGGTCTCCCTCAGGGGCTAGCAGTACAGACGCAAGACGAGGTGAAGCAGCGGCTAGACACTGGAACTCCTCCTGCCTGTCCTCAAGGACGTCCGTGCCAAGGGCACACTCACCCCCGACGGACGGAGGACAGGCGGACTCAGACTCAGTGACAAGACGAGCAGCGTAGTCTAGACAACAGCGCGCAGCAAAGTCGACAAGCTCAGTGACAAGGGCAGACGCAGCAGACGACTCGAAGGAAGGGTCAGTGACAGCAGTAGCAAGGAGACGCGTGACAGTAGGACTGGCAGCGCGAAGAGAGTCCGACTCAGGGTCGGCAAGAGCAGGAAGAGAGGAAGCAGGAGGAGAAGGCAAAGGGGCACGCAGAGGAGCAGTGGACGGACGCAGTGACATCCGGTGCGTGCCAGGGACAGGAGGAGGACGCTGACGCGAACCACGACCACTAGCGCGCTCAGTACGAACAGGCGACGCAGGACGAGACGCAGGCTCACGACGCTCAGTAAGACCTCCAGTCGGACCAGCGTAGGGAGAAGGAGCAGGCAAAGGGGAGGCAGGCTGTAGCTGTGGCTGTGACCGAACAGGCTGCGGACCCTCTAAGGGAGCAGGAGGAGGTGCAAGACCAAGAACCTGCTGCAGGAGCGGAACGAAGTACGGTCGGGGCCGCGCGGCAACACCAGAAACAGCAGGAACAGCAGCAGCAGCCCCGTCCGGAGCACCCACTCCAGCAGCACCTCCAGCAGAACCACCAGAAGCTCCAGAACCTCCAGCAGCAGCACCAGGAACACTGTCAGTCGGACCGCCAACCGCAGGCTCAGCGCCAACACCCTCAGCAGGACCAGCTCTAGGAGAACTCTCAGACCCAGCAGCTCCAGCACCCACAGGACGAGCACCGCCAGGACGCGTGGCAGCAGTACCCTCTGCAGCCGAAGAACCACCAGCACCAGCAGCACGCCTCCAGCGCCTGGCAAACCACTCACGCAGCTCCTGTGGGGGGAGTGGCTCTCGGCGAGACGAAGCACCCCCAGGCACAGCACCCCCAGGCTCAGCACCCCCAGGCTCAGCACCCCCAGACACAGCACCCCCAGGCTCAGCACCCCCAGGCTCAGCACCCCAGGCTCAGCACCCCCAGGCTCAGCACCCCCAGGCTCAGCACCCCCAGGCACAGCACCCCCAGGCTCGACACCTCCAGGCTCAGCACCCCCAGGCACAATACCCCCAGGCTCAGCACCCCCAGACTCCGCACCCTCAGGCTCAGCTCCCGCAGCAGCACCTGAGTCACCAGTGACCTCGACAGGCTCGACCGCGTCTACCTGGGACACACCTGAAGGGGCAGGACCCTGAGGGGGGAGGGGGACTACCGGGGGGGGACCTGGTACCAAGAAGAGCGGGGGCGGGGGGAGGGACGGAGTGCGGTAGGGGAAGAGGCGGTAGTAGGGTACCGACTCGTCGAACGTGACGTCCTGGGAGGACAGAACACGTCGAGAGGTGGGGTGGTAAAACTGCCACCCAGGGGCGTCGGGGGGGAACCCCAGGAAGACGCAGGGAGAAGCACGAGGGGACAGCTTGTCCGCAGACAGGTCGCGAACAAACGCCCGAGATCCCCAGACCCGGAACGCCGACGCATCGCCAACCTTCCCCGTCCACAGCAGGGCTGGGGAGGTCTCTGGTCGAGAGACCCTGGGGTGGAGGTTGATCTGGTGCGCAGCGTACCTGACCGCAAACGGCCACAGAAAATGGGGAGCAGCTGCATGCATCATGGACGTACGAGCGACGTCCATGACCATGCCAATGCGGCGCTCAGCAATCCCATTCTGCTGTGGTGAGTCCGGAAGCGTGAAGGTCTGACGGATGCCTCGCACACGACAGTAGGCACTCAGGAGGCCAGAGGAGAACTCTCCGCCTCTGTCCGAGTGCAGACGCAAAACAGGGAAGTCAGAGCCAAAGCTCCTCCGAAGCTGAAGACGAGCTGCGCGGATCCAGTCGATCAACACCTCAGTGACCTCACCCTTGCTGCGCAAGGGGAAGACTGTGGTGTAACGCGAGTAGTCGTCAACCACCAGCAGGAAGTAGCGCTCCTGACCCTGTCCACGGACGCGGGCTGGGCCCCACACGTCCATGTGAAGCGTCTGCAACGGGGCCTCTGTCGGAGGAAACTGGGAGGAGTGAGGGGCAGCACGCTGGCGCCCCTCGACACAAGGGACACAGGCAGGGCCAGGGCCCGGAGGAAGGGGAGGGAGGGACCGGGGAAGACCAGACACAAGGACCCGCGAGGCCATGCCTCTGAGCCGAAGCAGAGAGGGGTGGCCAAGGCGGTGGTGCCAGAG